CTGCCTTCGCTTGCCACCCACCGCCCGTCACCTCGCACCTGCCGCCCTATGGACAAGGGCTGACCGCACTGTGACCTAGGGGCCTGACCCATCAGGCCATACAGGACTGAAAGGAAGGAGAAGGTCCTCTGGGCACACAGCCTTCAGTGCCCATCTGCAGTTTGGTCTGTGCGCTTGTCCTGAGGTCTGGAGCCTCTACTGCCACCCAGAAGGATCTGATAGGTTCAGGGGCAGCAGGACACATGAGTAGTGTGGTGCTAGGCCTCAGAGCCAGAGAGCACATGGGGGAGGGGCCTGGCTCGGCCTGAGACCATGGGCAGGGACAGTGTTCAGCCTTGAGTTTGGTCATCTGGAGCCACTGTCAGAGGTGTCCATCACAGGTCCCTGAGCCTAGGAGTCACTGCTCCTGGCCCAGCTAAGGTGACTGCCTCAGACCTTTGCTGTTTGCTTCCATTAACCCTGGCTCAGGGTCCAAGCTTCTGCCCTGCAGGGCAGCACAGCCCTGAATCTATTACCTGAGCCATGAGCAGGGACAGCAAGAAACTAGTCACCAAGGACAGGGACAACTGAGACCCCATTGCCCTGTAAGGTTCTGCCTCTCTCTACATGTGCTGGGGGACAGTGAGGCCTTTGTCCTTCCCAGAGTGACCACCTGGCCTCCCGGAGACATGATACAAGGGCACACAGATGCCCATAGGGCTGTGTCACCTGCACAAGGCACAGTTGTCCACACTGCAGAGCTGCTGTCATTACATGCACATTGGCTGACACCCATGACACCACCACAACACCCACACCACTGCCACCTCCATTTCAGCCATGACACCCTTTCTACCCTCACACGTTACACATAGCACGCAGTGGCCCGGCCCCCGCTGACGGAGGCTCGGTGCTGTGACCCAGCAGTACAGATGAGGTGCTGTCCCTGGAGGAGAAGGACCTGAGGGACCGGGAGAGGCGCATGGCCAATAACGCGCGGGAGCGGGTGCGTGTGCGGGACATTAACGAGGCCTTCCGGGAGCTGGGCCGCATGTGCCAGCTGCACCTCAAGTCGGATAAGGCGCAGACCAAGCTGCTCATCCTGCAGCAGGCGGTGCAGGTTATCCTGGGCCTGGAGCAGCAGGTGCGAGGTAGGCCGCGCCCACCCCTCCTGTTCCATCCACAGCTGCTGCTGGCCAAGGTGGCCACGGCACAGGCCCATCCCTCTCTGTCCCTATCTGAGGACCGTCTCCCACTGCTCTCTCCTTCCCTACTCCCTCAGAACGCAACCTGAACCCCAAAGCAGCCTGCTTGAAGCGGCGGGAGGAGGAGAAGGTGTCTGGCGTGGTCGGAGATGCACAGCTGGCACTGTCGGCCGCCCATCCGGGCCTGGGTGAGGCCCACAACCCAACCGGGCACCTGTGAGCCATCGCAGGGTCTTCGTTGGACCAGGGACCACTGCATCTCTGCCCTGGGTGCACCCAGGACGGTCCTGGAGGGACAGGTCTCCGTTGAGGCGTGGGCGGAGGGCTCCAGGGACGCCTCAGGGCCTGGGGGTGGGAGGTGGCACTGAGCGGCCCACCTGTCTTGGCCCCAGTAACCAAGCTGAAGGGAGTTTCTTCCTCTCGATTAACCAGAACTGGAAACAAAGCAGCATGCTCACTTTTCAGAAAGGAAAAAAAAGATGCCTTAACTGTGTAAGATGGAAGAGTTGGACCGTGCCCTGGCAAGGGACGGCCTGGGACTGGCTTCTAGTTGAGAGCCGCCAGCACATTGTGCCTAAGCATTTTTCGTTTTTTTAAAGGAGAATAAAGGAACATTAGTTTTCAGATTTTTTTTTGTAATGTAGACAAAAGTTAGCAAGAACGAGGCCTTTCGTGTCTTTTTTTTTCCTTAGCTTTCTTTTCCGTATGTTTTGTAAGCAACAAATTTTTGTATAAAAGTCTCATGTCTGTTCCTGTTTCTAGAATTTAGCGTCATATTTCGTGGTCTACAAGATTATTAAAGTAGCATTCAAAAGACCCAGTGTGGATCTAAGGGTCACCCTTACCCTGAGGACTGGTACCAGGTCTGGATGCCTCATGCCCCTCCCCTTCCCACTACACATGAACCCAGGGCCTATCTGTGCCAGGTGTGTGCTTCTTGGCTAAACCATGCCCTCTGCCCTTCATGCGAAATGGGCTGTCTAGTTGCTCCCGTTGGACACTCTTTTTTTTTTCATGGTCTTGAATACTTGGGTGTCATGCATTAGGGGGCCTCTAAAGAAACAATTGCTAGAATGAATATATAGAGATACACATTTATATGTGGGTAAGGGCTCACACGCCATGGTCTGGGTATTCTCAACAGCAACTGTCTCCAAGAATCCTGTAGTTGCTCAGTGTCCCAGCAGTCCTGATCCAGTGCTGGAGTCCTGTAGGATTCTTAGGGAATGCTGGTCTTCAGTCTGCACTGGAATTCTGAAGAACAGGGTTCTGACACCAGCGAGGGAGTACCTCGCAGCAGGGTAGATGAACCTGCCAGCGAGTGTGAGGGCAAGCAGGCAGAAGCAAAAGCTTCCTCTTTCCATGCCCTCTTATGAGGGCGGCCACCCGAGGGTGTGGCTCAGGTTTAGGGTGGGTCCAGCTGTAAAGCTGCATCACCGAGTACATCACATATGCCTGTGCCCCCACAGCTGCCTTCTACATTCAGTCTGTAGATTGGATCCTTCGTCCCCTCCCAAGTGTCATCACCCATGTTTCAGATCTCAGTGGCATCCTAGTCTCTTGGTCAGATCATGGTGAGGCCACAAGGACCCCACTGCAGCACTGTTCATACCTGCTCCATGCTCACCCCCGTCCCCACAAGCTACTCTCTCTGAAGACCTTAAAAATCTCCAATGAGGGAAATTTTGTTCGGAACCATGATAACAGTTTGTTATGCGCTTTGACCTGGGGACCTGGCGCTTCTGGAAGCCATGGAAGGAACAGCTAGGGTGGGCACAAGCCTGCCCTGCCGTATCCTGGCTTTGGTGGCAAACAGGGAGGGGGAGCACAGGCACATCCAGACTTCTTGTCTTTTGGGATGTCTAGAAGCAATTGACCTGTTCTGGGCCTAAGTAGCTGTGAGTCCCTGTGTCCCTGAAGGTTCCCTAGGCCACCTCTGTGCACAGGTCCTGCCCAGCTGCAATCCTAAGGAGATGGACTCAGGTATCTCAGCTGGGGTCACCTAGCATGTATGCATGAAGTCCTGGGCTCCATTTCCTGGAGCTGGAGTTACACGCAGGTGTAACTACATCTTTTCTTTACAAAGTTGGGTCCTCAGGCACCTCGCCACTGAGGCCCTCTACCTTAATTCGGAGTTTTTTGTTCTAGATAAGATTGCACTGTATCAGCCGGGCGGTGGTGGCGCACGCCTTTAATCCCAGCACTTGGGAGGCAGAGGCAGGCGGATTTCTGAATTTGAGGCCAGCCTGGTCTACAGAGTGAGTTCCAGGACAGCCAGGGCTACACAGAGAAACCCTGTCTCGAAAAACAAACAAAAAAAAATTGCACTGTGTGTGTTTGGCTTGTAGCTTGCTAGGCTCTCAAGGCTGATAGTAAACTAAGCTCTAGGTCTGTCAGCCTCCCAAGTGCTAGCATTAAACACGTGACCACCATACCCAGCTTTGCTTGTGTGTGTGTGTGTGTGTGTGTGTGTGTGATGTTTCTGTCTGTATATGTATCTGTGTTCCATGTGTATGAAGACTCCAATGCCAAAAGAGGGCATCAGATCGCCCAGAAATGGAGTTACAAGTGGCCAGGAGCTGGCATGTGGGTGCTAGAAAGAGCAGACACTCAGTGGCCCTAGCCACATCTCTGAGCAGGCTTCTGGTCAAACTGGATCTGTGTCTGCCATCCTAGTGCTGGGATTACCAGTGTGGTCCACCATACATGGCTTTTTACATGGTCCCCGTGCTTGTATGACACACACTTTACCCACTGAGCTGTCTTTTCACCCGACATCCTTTTGTGTCTACCAGAGGACATGGTCTCCTGAGGGCTATCCCTTGCACCACAATCCCGGGGGCATGGAACCCCTAACCAAGTGGTAGGTAAGGCCCATCCCTGAGGTCGCAACTCTGTGGTCTGGATCTTGGCTAAGGTCACTGGCAGAACTGAACCTACATCCATAGGACCTGTGGGGTCCAGAGCTCCGCAGATACCCAGCTAACCAGAGGAGACACTTCAAGACCGAGGAACAAAGGACAGACCTTCCCTCTGGGCTCCTGGCTTAAATGCCTCGGGAGGATATGTATCTGAGGATGTGCCCCGCCTTCTTTCTACCAGTCAGGGGTGTGGTTAGGGGGTTAGCTGAGAAGAAGTTACAACGTTCCTATTCTAGATCAGGCCAACCAGGGACTTAAGAGAAAGCGTAACCAATGGGAGCCAGCCTGTGCGCCAAACAAGAGGACCCAAGGTGTCCCATAGCAAAGATCGGGCAAATGGAAGTTAGGAGGGCACTTGCATTTGGCCAGAGTCCCTCAGCGGCTCGCTGACAACCGCTAATGCATTCAAAGGTGCGGTCCTTCAGGGACTGTGCACAAGTTCCTCCGGTTTAAACCGATCAAAGGTGGGGCTGCGGCTCAGTGGGAAGAGCGCTTCTCTAGCGTGCACAAGGCTCTGGGGTGCAGCCCCAGCACTGCCTGCCTACCCCCAGCCTTACACTTTAGGAGGTGGAGGCAGGAGTATGAGGAACTCACGGCCAGCCCTGGATATTCTGAGACCCCCCATCTCAGAACACCAAAGTATGTATGTTATTAAAGTTATCATCAGATTAGTATTATGTGCTTAAAGTCACACACCACTGTCTCAGAGTGCATGGAGCTACCGCTGGGATGCACTGCGACCTCAGGCGCAGAGCCTCACAGCACCAAGTCGGCTGGAAGTTCTGCCTCAGAAGCAGGACAGAGGCGGGTCTAGTAACCGCTTTCTCCCCTCCCCGGAAGTAGATGTCAAAGTCTTCGGCGCCGCCACCGGAAAAGGTGGTCCGATTGCCCTTACGCATGCGCTGTATGTCTGTACATGCGTAGTGCTCCAGGGCGGCGGAACAGGGTGACCCTGAGTATTGAAACCCTGTAGCGATGCTGAGCAGGTTTCTAGGCCCGCGCTACCGGGAACTGGCCAAAAACTGGTGAGGAGGCCGCCCGCCATTCCACCTGTGTGCTCTGGGGATTGGGGGGAAACTGAGGTTGTGACAGGCAAAGTATTCCGGGACACAGTACAGATGGAAGATCAGAAGTCTTAGCTCCTCCGAGCCTCAGTTTCCCCAGCCCGACCTGGGTAGCCTTGTGCGGCTCTGGGTGGGTACTCTGGGCTCCTACGGCTCGGAACTCCGATTTTCAGTCTAGCAACTTTCGGCCTTTGGCGTTGATTTTGCAGTCTTTAATGCTCCTTTTTTAAAAACAGTGTTTCTATAACCTAAGTTGGTCGGGAACTCCCACCAATCATCCTACTTACACTTCTTGAACTCCAGAATAGCGGGCACCCACCATCACCTGAGTGTTTTGTTTGCATGCATGTCTGTGTACCATATACGTGCCCAGTATCCGCATAGGCCAAGAGAGGGCATCAGTTCCCCTGGCACTACAGCTCGAGATGGTTGTGAGGCATGTGGGTGCTGGGGAATGAACCTGGGTCCTCTGGGAAAAGAGCCATCTTCTCCAGCTTAAATTAGTTTCTTAAATTCTATGTATCTGTATGGATTTATGTGTTCCTGTGGTGTTCAGAAGATGGTTGTTGCACCCCCTGGAGCTTGAGACATGGGTCTTCTGCAAGAGCAATGACCCTTTCCACGGGGCTCCCTCTCCAGCCACTACCTCCCAGCTTTTTTGATTTTTAATTCCATTTTCGTTTTTGCCGTTTGTATTGACAGTGAGACTCAGGCCTTAGACGGTTGCTGAGCTCACACCACTAAATGACACCCTCCGCCCTGCCCTCTAAGTGACTGTCACCAAGGAGTGCAAATCTACAGCTCTGAGTCAGTGGGTAAATCGGTCATCTAGCATGCCTGAGGCTCTAGGTTCCAGTCCCCAGCACTGTGCACGCTTCTGGCATGGTGGTGCAGATTTAGCACTTAGGAAGTGCAGGCAGGATGCTGAGGGAGTTAAGGCCAGCCCTGGATACAAGAGACCTCCATTTCAAAAACAAGAATGTGTGAATATTACAAAAGTTAACAAATTAATACTTGAGGCCCAAAGTCACACTTCCATTGTCTCACGCAATTCTCAGGGTCCATGCCTGTCATCACAGCACTGGGCGTGCAGGCAAGAGAACCAGGCGTTTATGGCCAGCCTCTGATACATAGTGACTTCTAGGTCAGGGTAGCGGACATTGACTGAGTGAGAACAGCTCTGTCATGCCTGACCCCTCTGGGTAGACTGTATGGTATCAGTGCTCCCCAGCGGAGGGCAGCATGGATCAGACAGAAGTTACCTGCTGGGAGGCCAGGAAGAGGGCTCACCTGTGGGAGATACCTTTGTGTGAGTGAGGCTTGGGGGTGAGTCTCTGGGTGTCTTGGCAGGGAACAGAAGAGGTAAGGTTTTGGCAGTGTAGCTCAGTGGCTGGTATCTCGGTGCCCTGTGTAGTTCAAGTTCATGGGCTGTCTACAAACTGTCCACATGGTCCCACTGGGCATAAGCAAACAGACCAGTGGGTGAGTTGGACACCCATTAGCCTGGTTCTGTTGCCCAAAAGGGAAGGGTCTTATGATGAATCAGCCCCAAGTCCCACTCACTGAGACGAGGGTTTCACAGACATGCATTCTTCGGAAGCCAAGCACCAACTGTCATGGTTATACATGCTGTGTAACAAGTGGTCCTGAGAGTGCATGCCTGTCATCCAAAGGTTTGGGAGGCTGAGGCAGGAAGATCACAGGTTCTAGGTGGGCTTGAGCTGCATACTGAGTCTTGTCTCTTAAAAACTCCAGGCAAAAGGTAACGCTTGTGCTGAGAGTCAGGGACTCAGGCCCAGCGTGGCCGGGCCATTGGATCTGGCTTTCAGTTCCCAATACTTGCCTCAAGCTCTCTTCAGTTTTATTTTCATGTAGGTCTCATGGAGCGCTGGCAGGCTTCTAACTTGCTGTGTGGCCAGAGATGGCCTTGAACTTATGAACTACCACACTTGGTTCATGTGGTGCTTGGGATGGAAGCCAGGGCTTCATGTATGTCAGACAAACTCTCTACCCACTGAGCCACAGCCACTGCCTATCCTCCACCCTGGTTTTTATATGTCATGCGTGTTGTATTTTATGTCATGTATCTATGTGTTGTATTTTGTATGTCGTGTGTGTATTGTATTTTGTATATCATGCATGTGTGTTGTATTTTATGTGTGTATGCTGTATTTTATATGTCATGTATGTGTTGTATTTTGTATGTCGTGTGTGTGTTGTATTTTATATGTGTATGTGCTGTATTTTATATGTCATGTATGTGTGTTTGTTGGCACCAGTGCCAGCCACAGTGGCACATGGATGCCAGATGGTAGCTTGAAAGTGTGGGTTACCTCCCGCAGTCCCAGTGATGATGACAGGCTTGGTAGAAGGGCCCTTTTCTCACTGAGCTGGCCTCCAGCTCTGAGAGACCAGCCTGCCTTTGCCTGCCGCGTGCTGGGGTTATAGGTGTGAACGCCATGCCTCACAACCATATTTTGATTTTTGAGGTAGGATCTCAGTCTGTAGCTTGGGCTGGTTTTGTTTTGTTTGTAGTTGTTTTGAGAGAGTTTCTCTGTGTAGTCCTGGCTGTCTTGAACTCGGCCATCCTCCTGCCTCAGCCTCCCAAGTGCTATAGTAGGGGTTAAGCAGGGCCTCCTGCTGTGTAAGGTGAAGGGAGCACTGTGGGCCCTTGACTGACAGCAGCATGGGGTATGATGGAAGAAGGTTCTCAAAGGGCAAGTCACCAGCAGAGTCTCACAGCCTCTCTCTGTCCTGCCAGGATCCCCACGGCCAGCATGTGGGGCACTGTAGGTGCCGTGGGACTGGTGTGGGCCACCGACTGGCGGCTGATCCTGGACTGGGTGCCTTACATCAATGGCAAGTTTAAGAAGGACGATTAGGCAGCCCCTCCCCAACACAGGCCTCAATGGTAAGTCTGAGTGTTGCCATGACTGCTGTGGTTGGGGATTCTGGGCTGGACTGGACCTTGAGCAGGGAGGGATTCCTGTGACTTCCCCCAAGCCCAGGGTTCTGATTCTGGACACTCCTTTAGCTGCTGGGCTGGCCAGCAGCCTTGCTCATGGAGCTGGTACTGGAGAGCTATTGTCAGCTGTAGTAAGATACCCAAGTCCTGGGTAGGATGCAGACACCCCATTGTACAGATGAGGGAGCTGAAGTCATCCCTTGCCACTCGGGATACATTGCATGCTGAAGGCATGCAACACTGTGTGTCCCCATCAAACCACACCAAACTGGCTATTTTGCTAATGTTGGTAGCTTGTTGCCCAGAATAACAGTCCTATTTAGACCATCCAACTTGTGTGTGTGTGTGTGTGTGTGCACATGTATGTGTGTGTGCACATGTGTGTGCATGTATGCATGTGTGCACGCATGTATGTGTGTGCATGTGTGTGCATGTATGTATGTGTGTGAATGTATGCTTGTGTGCATGTGTGTGTACATGTGTGTGCATGTATGCATGTGTGTGCATGCGTGTATGCATGTGTGTGCATGTGTGTGTATGTGTGTGCACATGTGTGTGCATGTATGCGTGTGCATGTATGTGTGTGTGTGTGTGGGCATGTGTGTGCATGTATGTATGTGTGTGCATGTGTGTGTACATGTATGCGTGTGTGTGCATGTATGAATGTGCATGCACACATATGGGGACCAGAGACCGAGGTGGGGAGCCTTCCTCTCTCTGTCTCTACTATCACCTTGAAATAAGATCTCTCACTGAACCAGAAACTTGCCGATTTGGCATGCTTCTGGCTAGCCAGCAGCTTCCTGGGCTCTGCCTGTCTCTTGTTGCCTTCCCCAGAGTGCTGGGACTCTAGGTGTATATAGCCATGCTTGGCTTTTATGTGCTACTGGAGATTTGAACTCAGCTCTTGTTCCTTTCATAGCAGGCCATCTCTCTAGCTTGTCTACTTTGTGTTTTAAGATTTGTGTGTGCATCTGCATGTGCGTGCATGTGTGTGTGTGTGTGTGTGTGTGTGTGTGCGCGCGCGCTCATAGGGGCCATAAGGGGGCATCAGATCTGAAGTCACTGGTGATGATTGCTGGGTGTGGTTGCTGGGAACTGAACCTAGGTCCTCTGCAAGAACCGCTTTACTGCTGTGTCAGCTCTCCAGATCCATCATACAGGTCTCTTGCTGAACCAGGAGCTCGTGGATTGGCTAGACAGGCCAGCCAGCCACCTGGCTTCTTGCATGTCTTTTGGGGGTGGATGGAACTCATTTCTTCCCTACCAATTGCTTCCCCAACACTCTCACTCCATCTTATAGACAGAGCCCGTGTAGTGTGCCACCGCTGGCATCACTCCCAGAGCTCAGAGGCACTGGGCTGCCTGAGCTGGCTCTTGGTGTGCTTAGCTCACCCTTTGTCCCCTCCCCCAGGTATCACATGCTGAGGCCTCACAAACAGCTCAGTCCTGTGGAGGATGCTGATGGCCGGACACTGAGGAAGTCTGCATGGCTGGGGAGCTTCTGCATCGATGGACACTGGGGCTCCCTTGATGGGTGCAGCATTAAACCTTGTTACACCTCGGTCGCCTGGCTCCCTTCTCACAGCTTCCCCGGCTTGAGGATCTCCTCAGCTCCCAACATTTGCACATCTGGGAGAGTCTTTAATGGCAAGCAGAAGTCCTTCTTACACTGAAGTCTTTCTGGACAGAAACTGCACACTGTGTTCTCTGCAGCTGGTCCAATAAGTCACTCTCAGCTTTAATGCTTTAAATCAGTATTCAGGGCCCTATAGCAACCATACCTGACTAGAGCAGAACTTCTTCTGTCTTATATAGCCAGGCTGGCCTCAAAGGACCCAGGTTCGATTCCCAGCATCTACACAATGGCTCCAGTAAGTCCCAAAGGGTCTCATATCCTCTGGCCTTCGTGGGCATCAGGCACACACATGATGAACAGACATGGAAGCTACATACTCATAAACATAAGTCTTTGAAAAAAAAAAAAAAACCACCAAGAAACCCTAGGCCTGGTGGTGCAGGCCTGGCATTCCAGCACCTCAACATGCTAAAGCAGGAGAATGGGAAGGGAGGGTGGCTGGAGCCATTCAGTGAGTGAAGCCTCTGCCTTCCCACACTGCTAAGCCTGAGGCAGAATAAGGTGTGGGGTAGCCTGGGCACACACAGCTCTGTGAGTACAACTCTTGTCTAGTTGGGGTTTTATTGCTGTGAACAGACACCATGACCAACACAACTCTTCTAAGCACAACATTTAACTGGGGCTGGCTTAAAGGTTCAGAGGTTCAGTCCATTATCATCAAGGCAAGAATCATGAGAGCATCTAGGCAGGCATGGTGCCGGAGGAGCTGAGAGTTTACATCTTGATCAGAAGTCAGCTAGAAGACTGTCTCCAGGCAGCTAGATGGAGGGTCTCTCAAAGCCCGCCCCTCCAGTGACACTTTCTCCAACAAGGCCACACTTCCTAATAGTGCCACTCCTTGGGCCAACTGTATTCAAACCAGCACAGCACGGTACCTGAGCTCAGGCTCTGAGCTATTCCCACGGTGAGACTGTGATTCAGGGACATTGTAATGGTCAGAGATCAGGCTGGGGACAGAGCTCCTTCAGCACAAGGCTCCGGGTCAACCCCCCACACCTTATAACTGTCATCCCAGCTACACAGCAAGGTTGAGAACACCCTGGGCCACTTAAAACCCCTTATTAGTTTTTAAGAAGTGGAGGAAGGTAGTTGAGTAACTGGCTTGGCAAACAAGCGGAGAGAACCTGATGGCCTTCCCTGGAAGGTGGATGGCCAAGACCCCCTTCCCAGCCAACCTAGATGAAGCAGGAAGCTACAGGCTGGGAGACTTGTCTGGGAAGTTAGACGGGTCTGGATGGTAAGGGGCACAAACTTTGAGATGGAGAGATGGGGGTTAAGAGCACTGACTGATCCTGAGTTCAGTTCCCAGCAACCACATGGTGGCTCACAACCATCTGTAATGGGATCCGATGCTCTTGTCTGGTGTGTCTGAAGACAGTGTGTTCACATACATAATTTAAAAAAAAAAATGAGGCACAAACTTTTTTTTTCTTTTTGAGACAGGGTTTCTCTGTATAGCCCTGGCTGTCCTGGAACTCACTCTGTAGACCAGGCTGGCCTCGAACTCAGAAATCCGCCTGCCTCCCAAGTGCTGGGATTAAAGTCGTGCGCCACCACTGCCCAGCTCCAAACTTAAAATTCAAAGATAGGGAAACAAAGAAAACCCCAGGGTCAACTTTTTGTGGCCATTCCCACATGAAAAATCTGCCAAATCCACGAAGTTGTGCTAGTGGCTGCCTTCAATCCCAGCACCTGGGAAGCAGGGGCAAGAGGAGCCAGTGAATTCAAGGCCGGGGAAGGTTACAAAGTGAGACCCTGAATCAAAACAAACAAACAAAAAAACAAAAAAAACCCAAACACTAATCCTGGCCTCAGTGACCAGTTCCAAAAAGAAGGACTGCAGCTTACTGACTGAAGGAAAAGTAACTGAACGACCAGTACTGTTCGCCGGACCTTCACTGTGATCTGATCTCACCTCCCGACCTGGGGGCCCAGCTTATAAAATACAGTTCCTCAGCTCCAAAAATCGCAGGCAAGACAAAGATCTTTAAATGTGTTGTAATTTCACCTGATGACCGCTTAGTAGCTCTCCTTGTCAGGGAGGGTCCCCTTTCAAAGGGAGGTCCTCTGGGTGCTGTATAATGGGAGCTTGGGCGAGAAGGTCTTGGCCTTCACACATGTTCTCTGGGTAGGTCTGGCTGGGCCTGAGGAGCAAAGCAGCCCAAAGTAGGAAGCAGGAGTAAGTGACCTCCCAGCTCCCCCGTCCTCACGGCTGCGGTGGACGAGGGGTGACGGTGAGAGTGACTCCATATGCTAGTGTAGAAACTGATACCAGGATTTTTTTTTTCTTCTGATGCTAGATTTAGTACATTCCAGGCTGGTCTTGAGCTGATTGATCTTCCTTCCTCCACCATCCCGGTGTTGAGATGGCATGTGCCACTAATGCTGGTCTGTTTTTAGGGTACTGCTGCATGGCCCTGGCTGGCCGGGTCCAGCCTACTGGCAGAAAGGCTCCCTACCACGTGTAAGGTTCTGCTTTCTATTTTCAGTATTGCTGCAAAGAACAAACTTCTTAAATAGTTTTGGGTGAAGCCTGTCATTGCAGTAGTAGTATAGAGGCTGAGGCTGGAACAGCCGCGAAATAGAGGCCAGTCTGGGTTACAGGAGACGCAGAGGTCGAAGGCCCCGAGTTGTGCTACCTCTTTTTCACAGTGCCCAGGTGGGTCCTAGTCAAACGCACGCTGCGCCGGTGCAGCCGAACGCGACCGAAGCCGCGCCAGCTTAGTACAGACAAGGTGCAGCGCACAACCTGCTTCCGGAGTCCAGAGCTCAAGCGCAAAGGCTGTCCCACCCCGGGCGCCCTGATTGGCTGTCTCTGTCTCAGGGCGGGTTATGCGAGAAGATAGTCATAGAAACAGGTCCTGAGCGCTCTGATTGGTCTCGATGCCTGTGGGGGTGTCCTGCTTTGAAGCCTGAGGAGGGCTCGGAAGGCGGGGCTTAGTCAGATGCGCTTTTTGAGCTGAGGAGACAAAGTGATCTGATTGGCCTCACCGCCGGGGGGCGGATCTTGCAAGCGAGTGAAGGCTGAATCGAGGCTGCGGCTGCGCAGAGTGTTCGAACCACACTCAACCTGGTCCCGCGGACGAGGAGGGGCGGGGCCGACTGCGCGCCTGCGCAGACGAGCCCCACGCGCGGGCGGGTGGGCGGAGCGGCCCCCCCCAGCGGGGGCTGTGAAGCACGGGGAGGGGGCCGAGCGGGTGGCAGAGCCGGCGCGCGCCCGGCTGGGGGCGGAGGCCCGCGAGACGGACCAGCCGCGGCGAGTGGTGGCGGCGGCGGAGGGAACCGAGCCGGCGACGAGCCCGGGGGTCGCAACTTGCAGAAGCGGCGGCATCGGCGACGGCGGGCCCGAAGGCGGGCGGAGAGCCGGGGCGCAATGGAGCGGAAGAGGTGGGAGTGCCCGGCGCTCCCGCAGGGCTGGGAAAGGGAAGAAGTGCCCAGGAGGTCGGGGCTGTCGGCCGGCCACAGGGATGTCTTTTACTATAGGTGAATGAGCGCGCCGGCCGCGCAGGGCCCCAACGGGCGCCTCCCAGCGGCCTCTGCGGCGGCCTGGGCGCCCCTACTGCGGGCCGCCGTCTGGGCCAGGCGACGTGCGTCCGAGCGTGCGTCCTGCGTGCCCGCTGTGGTCAGTGCGCACGCGCCGGTCTCGGCTCGACGCCCAGTGCGCGTGCGTTGCACCCAGCGCCTTTCCTACTGTATAGCCGCGCCACCTAGCGCTGCTGTCAGCGCGCGTGCGCCACGCCGGGCTCTGGCTAGCCCAGTACGCGTGCGCACCGCCTGCAGCCGCTGCCTCGTGGCTTTTCGCTCGCCTGTGGCGCGAGCTTTTGTCCTCTACGGAATCGGGGACCGTGCGCACCGGGCAAGGGGCGCCCGGCCTTGGCCAGACGCCGCTGGGAAGCAGGGGTGGGAGGGGGCTGGCCTGACCCTTTGACCCTCGCGGGGACCTTACGGTGGGAAGCAAGGGGAACTGCCCCGGGTGGCCAGATCCCATCGCCTGCATAATTTTGGGTCTGGCTGCTTGTTCTTCAAAATGTCCCCCATTTTTATGGCTCTTCCAAAGCCCTTGCTTTTCTTGAGCAGTGGCCTCTAGAAGTGGTACCTGTCACAGCGGCTTCTGACTTCTGTGGATGGGTTGTATGCAAAACCTTTCTTTCCTTTTTTTTTTTGAGGCACGGTCTAGGTGGTGGTCTCCATCGACCAGGCTGGTTTGCAACCCCTTAGTCAGGGCAATGATAGCTGTCTGAATTGTAGCCGAGCAACCTACACCTGCTGTTCGCCCCACCCCCACCCAGGGGTGGCCGCATGCTTGCCTGGCCAGCCTCAGTCACTGTCCTATGGCCGGGAGCATCTGCTTTCTGAGCTGATTGTAGTCCCTTCTTCATTGCAGTCGAGACTGGGCGGTGCAAACCTGCCCCTTTGGTCTTCCGTAATCAGGGGTTTCCTTAATAAGATTGGAAGCCAGGACCAACTAGGGTTTCCTTAAGGCTGCAAAGAGGGATGAGGTTGTTGCTTCTAATAGGTCTGCAGTAGGTAGGGTTTTCCCCGGTGGGCTATATGCAAATGGCGCCCTGAGTGCATGGGCCTTCCTCCCCTTCCCCCTAACTTGCCTACCCTTACTAGCACTTTCTAAAGGATTTGTAACCCCAGGGTTCTGTCCTCTGGAGTACTTAGGCCACGATCCCAGCTCTGCTATGTTCTTCCTGGGGGACCCAAGCTGCGACAATTGCTCTGGGCCTGCCCCCACCGCTCTAGGGAAGTACCCAGACAATGGGGCCACCACCTCCCCAGGCTGTGCTCCCCCACTTGTCCTGTTAGCTGCTAGCTTCTAGACATATCCATGCCCCACAGCACCTACCAGTGCGTTCCAGCTCATTTGTGCAGACCCTCACGGAGTCCTCCCCCAGACCTCAGGAACTCTTAGGCTGAGAGCT